GTGTGTCTCTACATTGAGCATATGAGGAAGAGGGACCATGTGAGAATGAAAAGAATACAGGCAGAACAATAAACTCATTAATGTGAGAGTCCAGTGCCTCACTACAGGAGAATCTTGTATGGCTCTTTAGCACCACACCTCACATGGGTAAACCAGAAGCAGAAAATGCAATATAGGAAGGCAAAAGTACCAAAGTGGAGTCAAAGGAGGTACTCCAAAACACAACCAGAAGGACTATTGTGCCACACACACAGGCACTGAAGCACAGATGCAAGTTCCCAAGCAGTAACAAAAAACAAACAAACAAAAAACCCAATAGTCAATTGTTAACGCAGGTGCTGAAGCACCACAAAAACTAGGTGAGGCAATCAAGGCCCACGTTAAACACAAAGAAACAAGCACTCTGCCAATACAGCATCAAAGCAGTAAAATGCAGGGGCAGATGCCAAAGCCTCCCACAGTGAAACAGGTCTGAAGCACTTCCCAGAGTGCCAAGGCACCCAAGCAAAAGGGTCTCACAAAATCAATTTTTTTAAAAGTACATGGAACCTGCGAGGAAGGATAGCAAAAATGCCTAAAACAGTCTGGGTAGATGGGTCAGATCAGCAACTGGAAAAGGCAGCTCCTGCAGGGAGCTGCTTGCTGATTACAGAAGAAAAGCGTTTAGGCTCAGCATGTGGTCCCCGGCCACCAGCAGGAATAGCTGGAGCACTCTCCACCAATTACCCCAGAGGCGACATGTGAAGGGGGGCACACAGGGTCATATGCCCCCCTCCCCTCTGCTTTCTGCCTTCCATTTAGCACAGAGGTTCTAACTGGGGGGGCATGCCCTGGCGCACCCCACAGTTTGATGGGGCCTGTGGCAGCCATAAGGCTGCCAAAAACAGTATACGAAGAGGAAAAAAGGATATCATGGGCAGTTAAAGCATAATGTTATATAGAAATAAATACACAATCACTATTTATATGTGTAACATTACTGTACTCAGATATATTTACAACAGGGCAACAGCTCACATTTACCAATAAACTTCAATTGCCAACAGCTGCATACTGTTTGAGATTTAACCTACCACATAATAATTCAGGGTTGTAAGGTCTGCTAGTTGAAAATATGCTGTGGTATCTAGCGGTCAGAGACAATTAGCTCAATTAGAATGTTTTAAGCAGCACTTACTTTTCTATACTATTTAAAAATGTAAAGCATACATCAACTCAGAGGCACCATCTGTTCAAAGAAACCTTGCTTTATAGCTAAGCTGATTTGAATTTAATGTTGTACAGTTTGTCAGTAGATCAGCCAAACTGAAATTGAGAACATATCTGGTTCCTAGTCCTTTGCTTCAAACACTAGACCACACAATCAATAAAGTAAATTATTTAAAAGATGTCCAGAATGCCCTCTGAAACTAGTCTTTTAAAAAGTTTAATATTACATACTTAAGCAAAATACTACAGCAAAATGCTGTAAATACACTGTGCACTTACTAGAAAAAGTAAATAAAAGAGAAGGTTATCCATGAACAAATCCCCTGCCACATATATCAAGGGGGAAAAAGTGGAAAGAGGAGTTATGGACATAAATAGATGCCCATTACTTTAAAACATTACTTGGGATATTTACTAGTTGTACAAATTGGGGGCCTGTCCACCTGCTGCAATTCATTTCAGAGTCATCATGCATTTCAGCAGTTGAAGTCCACACTAAGCACTAAATTAGTTGAAATTGCTGGGGCAGGGATTGAAAGCATAATCTGAAGCTTTGCCCCCAATGTAAAAATCCACATGAAGCAGAAACATCAGGAGCCAATCTCCTCCTGCTCTATTGTGAATATAATAACGGCCATACTGGATCAGGCCAATGGTCCATCAAGCCCAGGTTCCTGTCTTCCAAAAGTGGCCACTGACAGATACTTCAGAGGGAATGAACAGAACAGGCAATCATCAAGTGATCCATCCTCTGTTGTCCACTCCCAGCTTCTGGCAAATAGAGGCTACTTAAGGGACACTTAAGAGTATGGGATTGCATCCCTGACCATCCTGGTTAATACCATTGACGGGCTTATCCTCCTTGAATTTATCTAGTTCTTTTTTGAACCCCATTATAGTTTTGGCCTTCAGAATATCCTTTGGAAACAAATTCCACAGGCTGATGGTACATTGTGTGAAGAAGTACTTTCTTTTGTTTGTTTTAAACCTGCTGCCTATTAATTTCATAGGGTGACCCCTGGTTCTTGTGTTATATGAAAGAGTAAATAACATTTCCTTATTCACTTTCTCCACATCAGTCATGATTTTATAGACCTCTCTCATAACACCTGGCTGGGGGGACAGCCAGGCTCTCAGCAGCAGGGAGCCAAGAGCCAGGGCAGGGGGAGTGCAGCCCTGCTCCTATGGGGGTGCCCAGGTTCTCAGCCCTACACATTGCCCCTCTTAAGTTGGTGGAAGCACTCCTAGTGCTTCTACCGCACCACCCACAGAAGGACAGTGTGTACATGAACCACTGCAGTTGTAAGTTGACCTAACATAGGTCAACTTAAGTTTCTAGTGTAGACATGCCCTCAGACTCTAGTACCTGACTGACTGTATATCAAATTTGAAAAACATAAGTTGGTACTACAGACTCATATAAGATTCCTCTCCAAGCTTTTCTTGGAGTTGCTCCTTCAGGAGAACAACATTTTTTCCAAGCTGCATGCTCATCCACGCCAGGCCTTTCTTGACACACTCAGTGTGAACAGGTCCTTGAAACAGAATCTGGGTCAGACAAAAGATCTTAGGAACTCCACCCAACTTTTTGTTTGACACCAATTTTTTGGGCACCGCTGTTACCAATAGGACCATGTTTTAATAGACTTCCAGTTGCATTTCCTCTTCTTATCTGGCTAGCCTGAAACTAAAAGGCCACCTCCATCAAAGGCAAGGCTGCCATTTCCACAAGCTTACTAAGAATTCTTGTTTGGATTCAACCTCTCTGTATTCCAAAATATTTCCTTGATAAAGGGAGCTCACCTCTCCCATCTCCAAAAAAGTCCTGTTTGTTTTGGAAATGTCCTTTATTTTAATTTTGGCTAAACCTTTCAGCTAACTGAAGCTGTTAATTGTTTCAATATTGCCAGCTTATCTGATTGAGTTTTAGTCTGTTTGGTACCTGCTGGATGGTCTTTTAGTCCTCTTTAGGTAAAATCTCCAATTTTATTTCACTGTCAGTGCTAGCCTTGATTGCTGCAGCCTACTTTCCTTTTGAAACATCCTTCTGTCGTCTTACTCTCCAGGCGTCGTGTGAAAAACGGTTTCTTCAAAGAAATGAAAAAATACTTACCTGCCTTTTTGAAGAAATTATTTCACAGGACTCTCACTCACCTACACACATCCTCTCTAAGTAAGGATTCTTCTTTATGGGGTATCTATTTTTGTTATCACACTCATTTTTACATTTGAGGTAATATTTTTCTGTCTCACATTTTAACTGGCCTCTCTCTAGGACTATCACTTCCCACACAGAAAATTAAGGCAGAGGCACGTATAGCCATAAGACATGGCATGCAGCAGCCTACAGCGTGCCTGGCTCACATCCTACCCAAGAAGGGCAAATTCTCTAAGAGGATTTTTTTTTTTTGAGCCATGGGTTTCTGGATTACATTTTGCAGAAGAGTAGTTAATGCAAAAATGCAATGTGAAAACCATTTAAATATTATTCACGATATAGTTTGGGATGATAAATTTTAAATGCAAGGTACAGTAGAGCCTCAGAGTTATGAACTAACCAGTCAACCACACACACCTCATTTGGAACTGGAAGTACACAATCAGACAGCAGCAAAGACACACAAAAAAAGCAAATACTGTACAGTACTGTGTTAAACATAAGCCACTAAAAAAATCAAGAGAAAGTTTAAAAAAAAAGAATTAAGATGGTTAAAAGCAGCATTTTTCTTCTACATAGTAAAGTTTCAAAGCTGTATTAAGTCAATGTTCAGTTGTAAACTTTTGAAAGAACCACCATAACGTTTTGTTCAGCGCTATGAACATTTCAGAGTTATGAACAACCTCCATTCCTGAAGTGTTCATAACTCTGAGGTTCTACTATTCTCCTTTACAGTTGTTATTTTGGCTGCTAAACAAAGCATATTTTATTACAATGAAATTTGATAAAATTAAATACAAGGGCTGAAGAGCTCAAGTATTTCCTAACTAAACTACACATATTCATTGGAGGAGAAGACATTTTCCTATATTCTGTCTATACTTTTCTCCTTATCTTCAGTCAACACCTATTTATTTTTGTTTGTAACAGTACAAAGATGAGGTATGTGCATAGGCCTCGCCCTCATTAGTAAATTTCATTTATAAAGCTGATTTTTAAGTTAGCTGACACAGTGCTGCCTGGAGACAAGGACAAGTCATGCTTATCTACTAGTTTTGGGTAAACCCTACTGGAATTACCCATGATTGGCTGACACAACGTGGAACATGATTTGCCTTTTTCTACATTAGCCAGTCGCTTGTGGTCAGCATTGTGTCAGCTAACTCGATTGTCAAAAGTTTTGTTAAAACACAGTTAAATTTCCTTGTGCAGATAAGACCAAAGAAGGGAAAAGTCTCAGTGCTCAGTACTGTCAGAGCAATTCACTGGATTCCATCTTGTTTGCTCCAATATAAAACAAATCAATGTTTTTACCTACATCAGCTTTGCATAACTACATTGACTCAATTTTATCAACCAAATTCTTAGCAAGGACTATTGTTTTCACAAAATAAATGATCTTTTTGTCAAATTGTCCTGATTTTATACTTGCGCAAAGTACCATTTTACTATTTTTATTCTTAAATTATTTTACCTTCTAAAAGGAAATTTAAAAGAAAAAATTATGTACATTTATATAAAACACACAAATGCTTAAGAAAGGACACAAAAGGCTTTTTTAAAGGAAAAAACCTAACACATTTGGTTACACTATGGGCATATTGTAGGCAAAACAAAAGGAGGTTTTACTTACAGAATTGTAGGCTGAGGCTCAAAAAGGCCAATAAGGCTGCCAAAGCCAGCAAGATCAGAAAACGATTTCGGAAAAGCATTATTAGTCGTTCTGCTTTCTCTTCATGGTTTTATCTCCATATATGAACACTTCCTGTGAATGAAACAGATAAGTGAATATTTAACAAATGGAAGCTTCAGCTACCTTGAAATAAATCCAAGTATAATTTTGGCAGGAATGCAAGAGAGAGATGAGGTTATTTCTTATATGCAAGTTTTGGAGACACAGAAGCTTGATCAAAATACAAAGGCTTTAAGTCTCTTCCTTGCCTCTCAGGCCAGTGTATCAAGCAAAATTTGCAACACAGTAATTGTTTCTCTCCAGTCTCTAACAATTATCTTGTAGAGCTCTGCTACCGTATTTTGAGAGCTAGTTCTCAATCTTAACAACTCTAAAATTCCTTTAATTAAAGCAATCTCTCCCTACCCTCCTGCAAAATACAGGTCAGAAAAGCAACATGCTTGCCTACTGGTTCCTCAAAGCAACCCTTATTTACCTTGCCAGGAATGTTCTAACTATCATATACTCTGTTTCGGAACTGTTAAAGAGACAGGTTAAGAATTACTCCCTCTAGGGGGCAGCACTATTGTTAAATAAATTATAGGAATCTTAGGTAAGAGAATAAAGATTCAGAGGAGGAGTTACGAGTCGAGCTGTGCGTAAAACAGAAATTCTAGTTATGAGTGACAGTTGCCTTTTTCTTGTGTTGACTGCAAGATGGAGGAATTTGGTTGGTCTTGAAAGAATTATTTTGTGATTCCCCACCTCCTTTGATTTGAGGTCTGTTTACAGCAGCACAATATGTTGACAGAAAAGGACTTCTTTTCACCAATGTTTCTTCTTGTCCCAGTACCCTGATGTTTGTATGGAAAATGCCACTCCTGGTACTTTCCTGTTTTGGAGAAGAAGCAGCTTACCTTCTTGCTGGAATTCTGACCTCAGTTTTTTTGATCGTTTACAGTCCATGGGGGGGGGGGGGGGCTTCCCAATCTCAAAATTGTCAGATTATTTTCTCAGATTAAGGATAAAACCTTTGACAACACTCTTCGGTGTCACAAAACAGTGAATTAACTATATTAGTAAATTCTTTCTACTGGTTCCTGTCTTGATCTGCTTAGCAAGAGCAAAATTTAGGGACCTGTATGCAGTATGTATGAGACAAAGATGATCATCTATATCAAAGCAGCACTGGTTCTGTCCTGATGGGCTTCTTCATCTTTGTGTATCGTTTTCAAAGCAGCACCGCTGTAGCCCTCTGGATTGTTTCTGGGTGTCAAACAGTGTTAAAGGCAACTTAACCAATCAAATTGGCAAAGGGAAAGAAACACAAGGGCAACATCAATAAGATTACATAGTTACTCAATGTGGCTAGCACACAGCATGATGGAGCATATATTTATGAGGAGATAAGTCAAGAGAATGAAAAAGTAGATGTCTAGTCCAGAATGGAGGAGTCCATTTATTAATTAGAACTTACACTGGCGTGCATGATACAAGTGCACAGAAAACTGCACTGTTTACCTTGGGCCTTCTAGGTGGAATTCAAAGTGCTGGTATTGACCTTTAAAGTCCTAAACGGGCCACATTGCTGGAGAGACCACCTCTTCCCTCAAATCATTCCTGCAGCAGTAGGCAGTGAATGTGCTCAGTCTAGAGCAACACTGCTATAAAACAACGAAAGGGGATGGACTGGTGGCAGGGGTTACCCGCTTGGAAATGCACTTCTCCACTTAGACCTCCAGAGCCTTGATTTGTTAAACTTTCAGACACACTGAAAAGCTTATAATTTCCCTTGAGAATAGGACAGGATAGGAACTGGATGGGATATTTGTTAACATGTTATAATTAGACTGTGGGGCTGAATTAGCTACCTCTAAAATTTTAATCTAACAGTAGATTTAAGCAGCTTGATGTAATTTTGATTATTATAAGTTTTAAGTATTGTAATGGGGATCTGTGCTTTTCTGGTAATAAAATTAATCGGATTTCTCAGTACATAAAGTTAGGAGTTATAAGTCTTTGCAAGATTCTCTCTCTCTCTCTCTCTCTCTCTCAAAGGATACGGATTGTATTGGGAGAACTGTCTTTCCATTTTGTTATACTAATTTCCAAGAGACTATAAGGAACTGAGGATTCTGAGAAACTAGAAACTGATGCCTGTTCCTATACTTTTCCAAAATGCTCCCAGTGCCATGGGAACACAAGAAATGCATGGCTAAAAAGAGAGAATATAAATGGGAAGGAAGACCTGTAGTTTAAAGGAGCCTTTTAACTTTTCAGAATAATAGCTCTCACTGTACACTAGTGTAATCTCTTAATGAGCGTGTGCCAGCCCACTGACTGATGCTAAACCGAGCTGTGAAGGAGAAGAAGTGAGACATAAAGATGATTGATTACAAACCACCAGGAGAGAAAGAAGCAGTTAAGTTAAACAGATGGAAGGACAGAAGGAAAACTACAGGAAAAACAAAATTAAATGTAGAGGGGAAGAAAAGGTAAAATATATGAGGAAGAAAAATCTCAAGAATTAGTACCAACCTCCCCTACCCCAATATCATTAGTTAATAATGTTGGTATATAATGCAATATGCCACAAAAAGTGAAGAGAGAGAGAGAGAAGCTTAGAGAAGACATTAGATTGAAGAAAGTGGGGAGAACAGATGTCTTACATTAACCAGGATATTTATGGAAGAGGTTTAATTAGCTTAAACTTTCACTCTTCTTGCAATTAAGATTTAATGTTTAGACTAAATAGTTCAGAAATTGTAAATACAAAAGCAAGATTTTTTTTAAAATTATACATGGTTTGGCATGCTAACGAAGTACAGTTATTATGGTATGATTGATTTGGGACAGTTCCTGTACAGTAATTGTGTTCAATAAAGGGTCTGCCAATAAAATTTGTTGTCAGCTGTCACTTGATATCAAGTATCATGGGATCAGATGCACAGATACAGTATTATGAAATGAAACAATTGGTTTAAAATACTGATAGGTGTGGTATTCAAGAGAAAAACAGCACTAAGACTGCAAACATTAAATAGAAGCAATACAAGCAATAGAATAGATGTTAGTTATACTGGCTGGACATTCAACTGGCAACTTTGAGAAGTATATTCTAATTGAGTAGTACATAAAAAGAAGAAGGGGGGTTAGAAAGTGTAAACTAAAGGCAAGAATATGAACTCACCGCAAAAAAACAAAACCCTCTCTATGTGATCAGAAAAAGATGAGGAGGCAAACACACAGTCAATGTGCTTTTGATATTAGGCCTTGTCTACACTACAAAATTAAAATTGACCTAAGTTAAGTCGACGTACAGCCACCGGAGTAATTACTGTAGTGCTTCATGTCCACACTATGCCCCCGTCGGTTATGCGCATCCTCACCAGGAGCACTTCCACAGACTTAACTGTGTGGGGCACTGACAGCTGGAACTCCTCCACCATGGGGTCAACAGCCCAAGCTGCCAACCCACATGGGGCTGTTTGCCGTGGGGCAAGGGGGGCTCCAGCTGTGATCCCCACATGGGGCTGACAGCTCGGGCTATGTAGGTAATGCAGTGTCTACACCAATGGTGGGCAACCAGTGGCCCATCAGGGTAATCCGCTGGCGGGTCACAAGACAGTGTTTACATTGACCATCCGCAGGCACTGCCACCAGCAGCTTCCAGTGGCCATTGTTCACCATTCCTGGCCAGTGGGAGCTGCAGGAAGCAGTGCGGGCCGCAGGGACATGCTGGACGCCGCTTCCCCCAGCTCCCATTGGCCGGGAACGGCAAACCGCAGCCACTGGGAGCTACAGGTGGCCGTGCCTGCGGACGGGTCAACGTAAACACTGTCTCGTAGCCCATCAGCGGATTACCCTGTGTGACAGACCCAGGCCAATGGGTTATAGGAGTCTGGTAGAGGGCAAATATACTGGTCACTGGATGAGTAGTTTTCTGTTCCCTGAGTGACCAGAGCAGAGCACTAGAGTAATCAGGAACCTGCTAGAACCAGTTAAGGCAGGCAGGCTAATTAGGACACCTGGAGCCAATTAAGAAGAAGCTGCTAGAATCAATTAAGGCAGGCTAATCAGGGCACCTAGGTTTTAAAAGGAGCTCACTTCAGTTTGTGGTGAGAGTGTGAGGAGCTGGGAGCGAGAGGCGCAAGGAGCTGAGAGAGAGAGGGTGTGCTGCTGGAGGACTGAGGAGCACAAGCGTTATCAGACACCAGGAGGAAGGTCCTGTGGTGAGAATAAGGAAGGTGTTTGGAGGAGGCCATGGGGAAGTAGCCCAGGGAGTTGTAGCTGTCATGCAGCTGTTACAGGAGCCACTATAGACAGCTGCAGTCCACAGGGCCCTGGGCTGGAATCCGGAGTAGAGGGCGGGCCCGGGTTCCCCCCAAACATCCCAATTGACCTGGACTGTGGGTTCTTCCAGAGGGGAAGGTCTCTGGGCTGTTCCCCAACCCATATGGTGAATCTCTGAGGCAAGAAAATCCGCCAATAAGTGCAGGACCCACCAAGATAGAGGAGGATCTTTGTCACACCTGATAGGCCACAAGTTGCCCACCACTGGTCTACACAGACACTGCGTCATCCTAACTACACTGATCTAACTGCTAAACCTTTCACCAAGATGGAATTATTAGGTCGATGTAGTGGGAGACTTACATTGGCGGGAGCAACGTTGTAATATACATACTTACAGATTGAGGTTGACGTAAGCTGCCTTATGTGGCCCTAACTCTGTGGTGTAGACCAAGCCTTAGAAATACACTGTTACAGAATTAGAGATACTGCTGCAGAAATAAAGCTCACAGTATTACAGAGCAGCTGCTGTTTGGATGACATTTGGAGTATATTGATCTTTATCTATTTACTTTATGGCTGGTTCAGAGTGCAGGTCATGTCCTAGCCTCACTGTCTCCACCTGAAAGCTCTCAGTACCCGAAGGCCAATTTTATCATCAACAATTGACATAACATTGGCTCTACTTGTTGGCTCGTGATTCTCCAGTCTTTGACTCTCTTGTTCTAAAAGATGAATAAATACTGTACTGCTAAAAATGTAGTCCACACTCAGCGTTCTCGGCACTGGCATTCTATCAG